TGTAGGATGATCCAACTTTGGATCATTATTCCTCATGTGAAAACGGCGAGCATCGAGATCTGCGAGGCTCCTGATTTGTGAGAGCATTGTACGCGTCGCGTCACCCTCGACACAGTGCCTTCTGCACTGACTCGCAGTTGTTTCTCACTTTGAAAGAATCACTGCCTTCTGCACTGATTCATTTTGGTCCCCGTGGATCGGAGACTTCTTCTTTGATCCACTTTGGTCCGCGATAATACTTGACATATGCGAACGAGTGAGTGTGTGGGAATGTGTGATAGCTAGCTAGCGAACGTATTAGTTTATAAGTCGTCGTTGTTAGAAAGGGAGCCATAGCGAATTCCGTCTTCGTTCTGACTTCCTTTCGGGTCTCTAAAGCAGCAACCTCCTCGCGGTGAGACTCGGGCAATCGGTATCATCCTCGACTCAGAAATTCATTGCAATTCGCAAGAATTTTTGAACCGAGGATGATACCGAGCTAATAGCTGCAAGTTTTAAATTCTTTTTGATATCGATATTTTCTAAGCATGAATGATGTTATTGTGCTACGTACCTTGATAATTTATAGGAATTTATTTTTGTTCCTTATTCTTCTTCTACATTTGTTCACGAGATGGTCGCTTCGTCATTGCGAACATAAAGCAATGATGGGTGCAGCGAACGCTGCAACGTGAATCAAGAAACGTAGGCCTCGAGGTATCGATGTTTACTGAAAATTCATTGTTTATTGATAAGATTGTCGCCCGTGGAATGGTGAACAATTGGTTAGATAAAAAGAACAATTCTTTGGTAGGTCCTGTAGCACGTTTTATGCATTATTTCAGAAATTGCTTATTAAAATTCTCCAGTCTTTCGTAAAAGTCCCTAGTCGCCCCGAAGAATTATTTTGGAAATTTTTGAAGAGTTACGAAGATGCATTTAAAAACAATTACTGATCAACAATGGGCAATTAAAGAGCAATTGTTCAAGTCATCGCACATTGAGTTAGTACAATTTTTGGAGTATTTATGCCAATTGATTTTTGGCAGCCATGAACGACACGTGCTCCTAGTTCCTTATATGTTTATTTATTGAAAATTAATTATTTATTGATAGAATTGTCGCCCGCGGAAGGGTGAGCTATTGATTAGATGAAAAGAACAATTCTTTGGTAGGTCATTCAACATGTTTTATGCATTATTTCAGATTTTTCGTATTTTTAAAAGTTCCTAGCCTCTCATGAAAATCACTAGGCGTCTCGAAAAGTTTTTTGGAAATTTCTGAAAAACTACGAAGGAGCAATTAAATGCAATTACAGATCAACAATGGATAATTAAGGAGCAATGTTTTGAGCTATATTTTATTAATATTGGTTAATATGATAAGTCGGCTTCACATAGGTTCCATTCATACCTAATTTGTTCATCTCTATGCCTCGTGCATGTACATGTATATTTAAATTTACATTTCTTCCGGGACCGTCTAAAGCCAGGAAAAAGTTTGATAGTTCTTTAAAAGAAAAAATTGAATCGAAGTAGGAAGAATACTTGTGTCCATTCTTTTCCATTCTACGTAGTTGAATAAGTATATTCGTTTACAGTTTCCGAGGAACTTTATTACGAAACGTTCGTTAACATGGTACGATAACGTCAAAGTGATCAAATAACCTTTATTTGAATTTGATTCGATTTAAAATTCTTTCCCTCTTCTAGACGAATATTATGGAAGAAATACAAATGCTTTTCAAAAGTGAGGTAGACAAATATAAACAAGTTCAAAAAGGTAGTTTATTCTCTTTTTATATATAATTGATATATTAACATTTTACATTGATATATTGTATGTCATGAACTCTAAAATAATAATTAATGAAGTGCCTGTTACATATAGATTCTGTTTTTATCAGATTACCACAAAGCATTGAGTCAAAGGCAGCAGTTGGATGGCCAGTTAAATGAAAATATCGCAGTTAAGAAAGAGTTAGATCTTTTAAAAACAGATAACGATGTTTTCAAGCTGATAGGACCAGTTCTAATAAAACAGGATTTGGAAGAAGCTAAACAAAATGTTTCCAAGCGTATGGAATATATTTCTTCCGAACTGTAAGCAGACTTATATAAGAAAGTCATACGAATAAGAGATCCAGAAATATACTAAACATTCTTTTAATTAAAATTTAGGAAACGAGTGGAAGAATTAATTGTAACTTTAGATAAAAAGCAAGATACTCACCGGGAAGCCTTAGAGAAATATGATCAAATGTTCCAAGCTCATGTGAAAGCAGCATTCAGTCAACCAAAGGCATAACATTCTGCATAAGCTGTTAAAAAATTACAGTGTTATCTCTTGTTATGTCAATATTATGTAATGAGAAAAGACATGTAATTACAAAATAGCACCATCTTTATTTCTGAATCGGATAAAAAATCAAGACAAACTGCTTGATTACAAGATGAATTATTCCTAAAAAATTACAATTTCATACATTTTATTTATGTATTTGTATGTCTTTCGCATTTAAAATATAAGAAATAAATTAATAGTTATAACATTGAAACGGGTTTTCTTTATTAAACATTAAAATAAGATACTTTTTATTTAACGTGACACATGTATAATTATAAGTGCTGTAGATCAAATCGTAGATGACTTATAATAATCACATAACCTATATGATTACATGTATGCATATGTAAAGAATATTTGACTATACAAATACTAAATCTAATTACCAAATTATGTAAACATAATATAGTGAAACAAAAATATTGTAACATTTGTTGCATTGTGTGTTAAGAAAACATGTCATTTTATTGGTTATATTAAATATGGCGGCACATTTGTCATCTCAAAGCTACGCCTAGAGTCGAAGATCGTGATTGTATTTTGAATCTAGAAATACAATACAATTCACTCTAATAAAGTTATTTGTTTGTAATTTTTAATCAAGATAGCGATAATGTTGTTGACATTAAAACCAGATCATAAAAAACATGTTTTGCTTCTTACAGATCATGCACCTCAAGGTATGTGTAATTACTGATGTTTATCGCTGATTTTATTTGCGTTCAAACAACTCGAATTAATTTGTTTTTACAGTTCTACAGGATTTTTGTAAATTGGCCTTGGATTATCTACAAAAGGGACCAAATATTAAATTATATAATGCAGCTGCCCGTTCGTAAAATGAAAAATAGATTGTCTTGATCTTTTCAAGGAAATTTCTTTGAGTTTGACATGTATTACTGTTTCAGAGAAATTGGAAGTTGAAGTGAATGTAATTAAAAATTCAGTGGAAGGACTTGTTAATTTATTATTAGAAAGTTGTAGATATAAAGTAATACTATATTCAATATGGTTGTATATATTGCATTCTTTCAAAATAATAATCTTGATCATATTGCTTTGCAGTTAAGCCCTGAGGACTTCAGAGATTCTGTAATTGCTTTGGGATTTTCAGAGGATCAAGAAACAATTTTAAGCAAACTATACAATGTTAAAAGAGATGAAATATCAGGTATACTCACAAATATTGGATTTAAATTGCCTGAGTATCATGATATGGAATGGAGATTTGAAGTTCAGGTTGGTTATTAATATATTTCCTAGAATTGTTGTTAAAGCAACTATTAATATTTAATTAAACCTGATATACATACTTTTTTACAGCTCGCATCAAGATCATTATTAAAGCAAGTAGCACCTCTAATAACAGTGGATTTATCCATTAAGAATTCAGACAAAGATGACAGTATCGAGCATGTGTTGCTTCAAACAGATCCCAATAATTTGTTACATATTACGCAAGAGTTAGAAGAGGCTCTTCGAGAAGGACGTAGTCAACATATTCGAAGACTTTCAAGAGTGATCAAATGATGTTGATCGTGTAATTACGTTTTACAAAATAAATTATACAAAATGCTATCAAGGAATTTTAATCCATTTTAAATTCTACATCACATTAATGCATTGTGTGTGCATTTCTCATTTAAGTTAATTATATACATTTATAGGCATACGTAATAATTCCTGCTGATCAGATTATTCTAAATTCTAGCTGACAGTACTTTTTACGTATTGGTCCGTACTACTACTTCTACAAGTGATATAAATGCTTTTAATAGACGTGTACATGATTTCATTTGAATATTTTATTGGATGACTTTATTGGATCTGATGTTTCAGAACAGGTATAAGAGAAGCACGAGACTTGCATAGCTGCAGTTGTGTGCGATCAGTTCAATTGTGAATAAGGAATAAAGTTTACAAAATTGTTAATGTGTAAATTTAAGTATTACTCATTGTGATTTTTTCTCATACAATCTTATTACATTATTTGCTTACAAGTATGAACTCTAGTGTGAATATTACTAACTAGTTGCATTTTTCGTATATACGCATTTAAAGTTACGTATGCATATTTTTAAGATATGGAGCTAACTGCATTAACGGATATTTACAATGGAACTACCCCTTTATCGATGGGAGTTTTACCTTCACCAAATTTTACCCTAACAACCACTCTCGGACCACAGTTTGCAAGACAGATAATGCGGTTCAGTAATCAAACAGTCGTTAGTAAAATACCTGACGAAATGATTCACTTAATCGACGCATATTGGTAATCATTAGAATTTCATTTGATATATTGGAGTATTTCATTTTCATCTTACTTTATTTTTAATACAGGTACCAATTTCCGCCATTAAATCCAATATGGCATAAAATTTTAGGCCTAGTTATGATCTTATTGGGGATTATAGGGTGGAGTGGTAATGCTGTAGTTGTTTATGTATTTCTATTGACGCCGTCCTTAAGAACACCTAGCAATATACTTGTAGTAAATTTGGCTTTTTCCGATTTCATTATGATGGGTTTTATGTGCCCTCCTATGGTGATCTGTTGTTTCTATGAAACATGGATTCTCGGTGAGAATAAACGGTGCAAAAGAATTCCATACAAACAGTTGTTGATATTAAAGTATTATTTCTTTAATCAGGAAACTTAATGTGCGACATTTATGCAATGGTTGGTTCATTATGCGGATGTGCATCTATTTGGACAATGACAGCTATTGCTCTAGACAGATATAACGTTATAGTGAAGGTATAAAAACAAAGTATAGGTATACATAGATACTGTTAGTTATAAGTAAAGATAAGTTCTAACAAAATTAAGTATTTTTAGGGTATGTCTGGAACCCCTCTTACTATAAAAAAAGCGGTACTCCAGGTATTTTTTATATGGACATTTGGTCTACTATGGGCGATTTTACCTATGGTGGGGTGGAATAGGTAACACATAAACTAGAAAATTGTAATATCTTCGCGTACGCTTAACACAAAATATCTGTTAATTAGGTATGTCCCAGAGGGTAATTTGACTGCCTGCGGAACAGACTACCTCACGTTAGAATGGTCCTCGAAGTCGTACATATTAGTTTACTCGATGTTTGTCTACTATACACCGTTGTTCACTATTATATACAGCTACTACTTTATCGTAGCGGTAAATACTTCGGAATCACATTGCCAAACATTTTCTATGGTGTCTTTTAATTATACATATATTGCGTTTACTCAAACAGGCTGTAGCGGCACACGAGAAAGGAATGAGAGAGCAAGCAAAGAAGATGAACGTTGCATCTCTAAGATCCGGAGACCAATCGGGTCCCAGTGCTGAAGCAAAATTGGCAAAGGTGCTGTAACTTCTCTGCACGTTTCACTAATGCAATTAAAAAATCTTACCGCAAATGTTTGTTGTGAAATTTCTTGTAGGTAGCGTTGATAACAATTTCGTTATGGTTTATGGCATGGACACCCTATCTCGTTATCAACTATATTGGAATATTCAATCGCAACTTGATCTCACCACTGTTTACTATATGGGGATCTCTGTTTGCGAAAGCAAATGCGATATACAACCCAATCGTTTATGGAATCAGGTACGTGTTTTGATGTACTCCACCTTTGGGAATAAGTTAGAGTCATTCATAGTCTGTCGCTGTGCACCCATTCCTAACGTTCATATAAAAAAATTCGAGTACTGACTAGAAAATTTACTCTGCAGCCATCCAAAGTACAGAGCGGCGTTGAAAGAGAAGTTACCATTCTTTGTATGTGGAAAAACCGAAGAACTCAATCCTGCTGCTGGAGCCGACAGTAAGTCGGAGGTTTCAAAAACTTAAAACAGTCGGGGACTGTATTCTCGTGTACAGATATCCGCACTTCTAAACTAAACGTAATCGCTACGATTGCAAGAAAAGAAGAATACATTGTCCGTTGCTTGCATAATTTATTCGCATTTATATTTATAAAATTAAGGTACAGATACGACGCTCTCATTGTATCTCACGTTAGTGTGATACGTGCTTACTAAACTAGTAAACATAGAGCTGGCGCCAGTTATACCAAAGTGACCATGTATATTGCTGCGGAATAAATTTTACAAAATTAAAATCGCAACCCATGATTCAACGCTGCGCGATTCGCATTGTGGTGCAAATGGGAATCGTTGATTGCTTCCATCGATCATGAGAGGATTCGAAGTTTGCTCGATTTATTGCCGCATTTTGGAACAATTCCGTGTACTGAGTACTCGCGTCGCGAGAATGTATATGGTTGTCCCGATGATGTTAGGTGTGTCCCTCTTCCTCCTTCTCGCGTTCCCTGTGTTCGAAGCGCGTCCCCCTCGTAATTTGTACAAAAATATTTCTCAACGCGACAACCGATGCTAGTATTTACAATTTCGTGTCTGTAATGATAACATTAGCGTCGTCTTCAATTTCCTAGCGGTTCGTTAATCATGGACCGATCGATCGTGAGCTTTGATTGGTACGGCACGAGTTCGAATTAAAACACGTGGGATCTCACGAGATGTTTTGCGCAGTGGCATGATGGTTTTACGCGTTCGCCTTTTCGTTTTCAGTAACGGTGGTGGTACCGGAAACGGTGGAGGTCGCGTCCACTGGCAATGGTTCGTTCGCGCATGCCAACGATGGGAACCTCTCGAAGAGCGCAGCTCGGTATTTCGGATGACTGGAATAGGAGAAACATCGAAAAGTCAGGGACCAAGTTCAAAAACGTATTGCACTCGAGAAATGTAGATGTACCTGATTCCGTAGACGATCGGATTATAGACAGCGTTGGCCTTGGCGAACACAGCGCCCCAGATGCTGAACAACGGAGTAATGTTGATCAGGTTGAAGATACCACCGGCGTTGATCACTAGGTACGGTGTCCAGGCCATGAACCACAAGGAAATCGTCATCAGAGCGACCTGAAAGCAATCGTGTGTCTCCGTATGCGATAGCTTATCCCATAAACGAGTATCCGTACCTTCGCTAATTTACATTCGGCACTGGTGTTCTGGTTCTCCGATGATCGCAGAGAGGCGACGTTCATCTTCTTCGCTTGTTCGCGCATGTTTTTCTCGTGGGCGCAGACTGCTTGGATGATAAACCAGTAGCTGTAGCAGATGAGTCCGAGCGGGCAGAAGTATACCCAGATACCGTATACCATGAGATAGGAGGAGGACGATATGTCTCTGTTCAAGTAATCGGTGCCGCAAGCGGTCATGTTACCCTCGGGAACGTATCTGAGGGAAGAAAGCGTGTTTAAAGGGCGAGTTCGATTTTAGGAGATGCGTTGAGGTATTACCGGTTCCAGCCGAACATGGGCGCGAGGGTCCAAAGCAGAGCGAACGTCCATATAGCCATTATACGGGCAAGTGCTCCGTTGATGGACAGTGGTTTACCAGCTAAACCCTTTACGATCACGTTGTATCTGTCAAATGCGATCATGGTCATAGTCCAAATGGAGCAACATCCGAAAAAGGACCCCGCCATCGCGTAAATTTCGCAAAATAGAGGTCCGAGTACCCATGTCTCGTAGTAGCAATTGACTACCTGTCGGCACAGAAATGAAGAAATTCCGTTACTCGTTAGTGGTACTTATACTTACTATGTAGTGGTACCTATGGTACTACTTAGTGGTACTTATACATAAGTATGGTACCATAAGTATGGTACCACGGTACCATAGTTTCGCCTGTTACTGTGTTCCCATATCTGGACGTTATTCGTCCACTCATTTACCATGGGCGGCGACATGACCACCATCATGAAGAAGTCGCTGATGGCCAAGTTGATGACAAACAGGTTGCTCGGTGTACGAAGGCTCTTCGTCGTGAGGAAGATGTAGATAACCATACCATTCCCAGTTAGGGAGATGAAACCAAGCACCCCGATTACGAAGCCGAGAAGCCCGTGCCACATCGGGTTCAACGGCGGGAATTGATACCAGTGGGGGTCGACCATGTGCAGCATTTCCGGCGGCACCTTGTCCACCACCGTCATGTTGCCGAACCTGGAGCCACTGGAGGCCTGGGCTCCCCATGAGTAGCCATCGAAGCTGGGTCCCGAAATAGTCATTTTAAAATCTGAAATCAACAAATCTCCGTTACCCTGTTCTATCACTTCTACCGTTGGGTCGCTCTTATTGTCCACCGATCCACTACCCTCGCCTCGTTTCGATCTATTACACGCGAAAACCAAGACCGAGCGGAATCCCAGCGAATTTTGCAAGCAGAGATACCATGGAATCGCACTCTTTTAGATTATGGTTCTTGTCGCGCCGTCCGAGAAGATCGGGGAGAAACCGGAAACGGACCGTTGTAGTTGCGACGGCTCACCTTATCGCTACTTGGATAAAAACGTGCTGAAACGAACTAATCCAAGAGCACGTTTGGGGTTGATATTGACCGGACTACACGATCGTGGAGAACAGAAGGAGATATGTTGTTGGGTCCACTGTCGGATGCGGCTCGTGTCAGCGTCGTTCGACTGCCGTTTAAATACGAACTGGCGGGATGGCCCGACCCTGTCATATGTACCCTTGTGTCTCGTTTCCTATATGTTGCCGCGATCTAAGTCGGCAAACAGTCTTAAGACGATCTTTATTAAGTTAACGAGGATTTAAGAATACCTTGGCGTATCCTCAGTCCCGCACACAGAAACCTTAGAAGGCTAAAATAGGAATCGAACACGTCCAAGATCACCCCCCATCCTTTGATTCTGTTACATTTGTACAGGCGTCACTTCACCGATCTATCGTTTGTGACAGTCTTTGTCTTCGCGCGTTCGCTCGTTCGAACTTATTCCGTGAAACACAATCGCGTATCCGATTTGATCTTTCCTCTGCTTTCTGTGTATAAAACCTTAAAGATGTTAATACGTAAACGAAGATACGCTCGAGATTTCGGCGTCTCCGTAAGTTCTATTCGGGTTTAAACTTTAATATGGTTTCGTGCTGTAAGGAGCTTATTAGCATTCAACGCGTGTTTTCCTTATTCAGTCCTCTTTGATCTTTCGATAATAAGCAGCAACGTCGGGCTAAAGTTACATCGAATAATGTCGAAATGCTTGCAACGAGGCGATGGTAATAGTAATTCGTTCTTTATTTATAACAATGTCCGATAACTGTTGCTCTTATTCGATAACAGGGGAGGTAAAATGTGAAACGGGACGTTAAAGCTGTGTTAATGTATTGTTCTATCGTAATCTTGTTCTTTAATCTATTTTAATTTTATTTAATAACAATATCCGATAACCGTTGCTCTTATTCGATAACAGGGGTGGTAAAATGTGAAATGGGACGTTAAAGCTGTGTTAATGTATTGTTCTATTGTAATCTTCTTCTTAATCTATTTTAATTTTATTTAATAACAATATCCGATAACCGTTGCTCTTATTCGATAACAGGGGTGGTAAAATGTGAAATGGGACGTTAAAGCTGTGTTAATGTATTGTTCTATTGTAATCTTCTTCTTAATCTATTTTAATTTTATTTAATAACAATATCCGATAACTGTTGCTCTTATTCGATAACAGGGGAGGTAAAATGTGAAATGGGACGTTAAAGCTGTGTTAATGTATTGTTCTATCGTAATCTTGTTCTTAATCTATTTTAATTTTATTTAATAACAATATCCGATAACTGTTGCTCTTATTCGATAACAGGGGAGGTAAAATGTGAAATGGGACGTTAAAGCTGTGTTAATGTATTGTTCTATCGTAATCTTGTTCTTAATCTATTTTAATTTTATTTTATTCGAATCTTATCATTTCTAATTCTATAGTTTCTAATTAACATTTTATCGTTTGCGAATTTAGTTTTAATTTTACGATTAATTCGTTAAGAATTTTAACGTTTCTTCCGTAGGAGACAACAGCGTCTATTATTATTATTATTTAATCAATGAAAAAATACAAACAATAAGTCTGAAGCTCGCTTTGGGGCTCAGAATGATTTCTCTTTATAGTGTATCTTAACAGAACTTGGGCTTCCGCATATTCTCGATCGATCTATTTTCTTAGGAAAAAATTATTATTAAATAATTTTTATTTGTATTACTGAATATATTTATTATTAATTATATATTATTAATATATTTATTATAATATAATATATTTATTATATTTATTATTTATATTATTGAATAGCTTCAAACTCTGGTCATTTCGCAAATGACCAAATGTCATTTTGCAAGTGATTTTTCATGAATTACTTGGACACACACACACACAGTGTGTAGAACGTAGAAATGAATTAAAAATATTAATGAGATAGTTGATATGTGTTATGTAGCTTTAAATAAAAATCTTATGGTATTTATATCTCATAAGACCAAGATGCATGCAATGGTGCATTCATCAAATATTAGTACTAATGTCATTCTTATACTTGTATAGGCTTCGTGTGGCCTAAGATTTTAAATAAACTCGATTCATTTTAATCGATGATCAAACAGGTATGTAAAGGAAAGATACGGAGAATTCAAAAATTTGTAAATTACGGAAGAATAAAATTGAGTGACTTCACATCCGCCAACATCTACTTTTAAAATCTGAAAACAACGCCACACGACGTAGTGGCAGAACGCTGAAACTGGTAGATAATTTTACCGACATTTTGTTATGTTGTTCCAAATTGGTGGCGCTGAATGAACGTCTCAATTCTGAGTCATTGGCATATCTTCTCGTGCTAACTTTATGAAGAGTCTCTACTCTCTAGTCTCTAGTCTTTGCCTTTCAAATGTTGCTTGTTTGCCGCTGTTTAAAGTGTCGTGCTGTGCGACTGTTTTGAGCAAAAAACACAGATTCGAAGCAAAATACTGTAGTATAACACAATTGAAAAGTCATTTTCGTGATTCTCACTAAATTTGGTAAGTTTTAATTATATAAGTTTTACTTTAAATGGGAATTGTACACGAACGCCGAATGATGCCATCGGAACGGTATTGTGATTAATGTCCACAAGGCCTCCATTATTTCCTGTCGTAGCATCATTTTTACAACACTAATCTAGAAGTATATATTTTTTATATGTGATGACATAAAAAATAAACTACTACATCAGTAGCTCAATAATTTCCAATATGCTTCGATATATTTATATTTCTTAACCCTCACTCGATCGATTTCGGGTCACCGGTGATCCATGTTCGGATTATAAGACAGACGCTCGTGTAATCGTACGCATTTCGTTTACGTTTGCCTTCTTTCTTTCTTTACTATACGCATCATTATTACCTTTCTTGCTATAAGCATCATTAGATACTGGTTTAGGTTAAAAGAATAAATTTCATATGTATAGATAATATAGGTAAAAGTAAAAAATAACCTGATATAGGTAAAAAATTATTTTACATTGGCTCGTTGAGTTCTTGTCAAAAATTAATTAACTGTTTTGTTTTTACAGGTAGATATGGTGCGTGGTGGCCGAGGTGGTATGATAAGAGGAGGACGAGGAGGAATAGGACGCGGAATGGGATTTCCCAGGAAACAATTTCTTCCTCGTCTTCCATTTGACTATACCCTATGTGAAGCTGCTTTCCCAAGAGTTAAACCTGCGCCGGATGAAAATGATGTTCTAATGATCTTTCTGAAGAAAAGTGGAGACATGTTTCCTACAGCAAAGGAGCAGACATCCATTCTAAATCTTGTGACTAAGCTACAAAGTGTACTTGATAATTTAATCGTTGCTCCAGGCAGCTTCGAAGCTTGTGTATGTGTCTTATCATTATAATATTCATTCTGAATAAGAGAGGGTTTACTTATTTGCTTATTTTACTTATTTGTGTTTACAGCAACTGGAGGAAGTAAGACAAGTAGGAAGCTTCAAGAAAGGAACAATGATCAAGGGTCACAACGTTGCTGATATTGTAGTGATTTTGAAGACACTACCCACCAAAACAGCAGTAGAAAAGCTTGGTACCAAAGTCAATAATGACCTGAAGGCAGCACATCCAAAGGAAGTGTTCAGACTGACTCAAACAGAGCGCGGTTTTGATATCGCTAATAACGAAGCATCCGTGCGTGTATTGATCACCACGTTGCATCAGAATCTTCGCAAATTGGAGTCTGATCAGCATCTAGATGTTAAAATATGCCAGGGTCACCTAGCAGCAATTAGACATTCCCGTTGGTTCGAAGAAAATGCTCACCATTCCAGTATCAAACTTCTAATTAGACTACTCAGAGATTTGAGAAGTAGATTCGAGGGTCTAGAGCCATTGTCCCCTTGGATGTTGGTTTTACTGGCACACAATGCGATTATGAATAATCCTAGTCGACAAGCATTGCCAATAAATCAGGCGTACAAGAGGGTACTTCAATTGCTTGCCTCTGGACTTTTCCTTCCAGGTTCTGCTGGTGAGATTTCTTGTTGTTTAATTATCATAATCATTATATTATATTTTATGAATACTGATTCAATCTTATTTAGGTATTTCTGATCCATGCGAGGGCGGTAATATACGAGTACACACGGCCATGACCTTAGAGCAACAAGATCAGGTGTGTCTCACGGCTCAAACACTATTGCGTGTGTTGGCTCATGGTGGTTGCAGACCTCTTCTCGAAGGTGCCAATATACTCGCCGCGGAAATGAGTGTATGGGCAGGCGGTGTGGTTGCTAGTCCCTTGGAAAAGGCATACGAACCTCCAACGGAGCAAGAACAGCAAGAAGACATGGATGAAAGCAACGAGGAAATGATAACAGAGAGTGCTTAATCTCTAATTTAACATAGCCGTAATTATCCCTCGAGAAGTCTTGTTATGATACAGACAGGAATGCAGCACTATTTTCTACAATGATGGTTTATTCATAATCTTCTTATCTGATACAAAAGATAATGTATTCAGTATTGCATACGAATTTACTAATTCACGAACTTTCTATGAACAGTAATCTAATTAGTGCAGATGCGTTGACTCCGTGTAATTTTGTGTGGTATTGTACGTGACGATTAGAGGCCTGTGTGACAGTCTTAACCAACCTTATGCCTGGAATAAAACTCAAATTATGTCTATATAGAATTCTTACAGAGTATACACTACGAGTATTTCCGACGCCTCGAATCCATCCATGTACAATATAATTGAGTAACTTTCTTGTAATTTTTGTTAATATCTCATCGTTGTCTGAGAGTAACAAAGTTGTATCAAGCAGCGTGTACTTGCTTGTCGACAGTGCTGGACACGACGAATAATCAAAATTTTAAATCATAACAGCCTTTTCTTGATCCTATCGTGAGCAAGGATCGTTCTCCGGGGTTCTACTGACACGAGCGCAGTTAACAAATGTGCTGCCGTTGCCGGATCGAACCGGCACCTTGAACAGTTTCCCTTGAGGCATGCACACGCAAACTTTATATTCGTGGCTAGGATTCTGTAAAAACAATGGCGCGACAGGAATATTGTCCACATCAATGGAAATACCGTCAGCAGCGTCTAGAATGATGCTACCGTTGACGCTCTTCAACAAAATGTCTGTATCAGCGCTCCAAACGATGTCCTTGCTTTCCATCGTAGCGCCTTCAGCGCCATGCATGGAAATCTGATCGTCGGAGCTCACCGTCAGGCTCTCGTTAACCGGCGACGTGATTCTGTATGTCTCTGCGATCTTCACATCAATTTTCTTGACGCCCGCCGGCAAACTGAAGTTGGGGAAGTCGGTGGTGAAGTAGATAGCTCCGGTTCTAGGGTCCTTGATCTCAAAGGACTCGACCTGAGACCAGGCGGTACCATTTGGTAGGATTGTTACTTTTGTACTGGGTTCGTCGTGGACTCTACGGTCGTGCACTTTAATTTGGACACCGCCCTCATCTCCGGAAACCTCCATTGGCTCGTCCCCATAGCCTTGACAAACCTCCGACTGTAGGCACACCTGTAAATCGGCACAGAGTTACCATATTTCTCTACAGTTTATTGCTTGATCTGACCTGTTGATCTGGTGATAATTTTTTATGTTCTTTTCTGACTGATCTACTTTATTTTTCTCCATTGAATTGTATTCTATCTGACATCTGCAATTGCATTTTCAGTTTTTCTTCGTAACGTCATGTTCCCATTCCTACTATCTTGCAGTGCAGCGAAGGCAACACAGAAACAAGTTAGCAACGAGAAATCAACGAACAAGGACGCAGAGGAAACTGCAACCATTTTACTAACATAATTATCATCAGTCAACAGGTCAATGTATAGCTTTCTTTAGTTAACGCCAACTGACACTGTCCAAGTCAGTTTTTCCATAAAATTTCACGAGATTCTCGTCAGGTATTACTTCCATTGCCTCCATTCCCTGACTAATTCGCAGAACGGCTATCACGGTGATGTTGAGGAAGAGATTGCAGAGGCCAATTATCGCCAGGACCAGTGTCAACGTCCACAGGCAGTAACGTCGCTTCGTTGGCTTCTCGTTGGAAGTCGACATCACGAGGGAAGAACCGGTCATCGTCCGGTTCACGTTCTCAGAACTGAAATCACAGAGTATTCACGATCATTGCCAAAAATAGCCCGTGCGCAGTTCGTTAAGAGATCCTTAACTGCGAATTATAATTATTAATCTATAATATATAATTAATTTAATCTATAGAATAATATATATAATTAATTTAATCTATAGAATAATATATATAATTAATTTAATCTATAGAATAATATATATAATTAATTTAATCTATAGAATATAATATATATAATTAATTTAATCTATAGAACTCTTGGAATTTTTCGTCAGACGTGACTCTCACCTTGCTCTGACACTATTGCAATTGTTCTGCTGGATGTAGCCCTTGATCAGAGGTCCATCGCTGTTCGACAAGTTATCCTCAGCCTTCGATATCGAGCCAGTGTCATTGCCACATGCATCGAGGAGGACGGACATTGAACTATCGTACTGCGTGTACAGAGAAAATCACAGACAAATCTTCCAAAAATTTGACTATCGAGCTTGTTCTTGTATATCAAGACACTCTGTATAAAGGATCAGTTATCAGTCATTGCTACGTAAATAAACAATATTTTTCTGTGTCTAGTGTTTCCATGGGCCTGTGGAAATAAATATAATTGTAAATAATCTTTTGTTACTTTCCACAATTCGTTGTAAGTGTCGCGATTAATAATGTTATAAATTGTGTAGGGTGTTCGAGTGTCCTGGCATGTTAGGGTTTACTTCTTTCGGGAAACTGAAATGCGCGGATGACGTTTGTCCGCGGACTTTCGGCAGGAAATTCTTACCCCAGCCAGAATCGCTGCCGTAATACTGGACGAAAACGAAAATAGAGCGGCGATAGTTCGCTCCTGTACGAACGCACGAGCCGTGTCACGAAAACTAGGTGAAATCCGCCGGCCGGCGCTTGCGCGTCCAGGGATCGATGCTTGGGATTTCGGGGGACTTCGTTCGAATTTTTATACATGCTCCTCTGTCAATTTTTACTGAAAATCACAGATTCGGACATGTTCAGGCATACATTGTCACCCCCCCCCCCCCCCCCCCCCCCCTACCCCCCCCNCCCCCCCCCCCCCCCCACTAACATGGTGCTACATAAAGCGTTGATATATCAGAAGACAACTTAGTTTATAATTGTAGAGGAAAAATTTCAAGGTTCATGAGTCACAAATACTGAACGTATTAATTACGTGATTCGTTTACTTGTAAATATGCAAGTAAATATGCAAGTCATACTTCCTTGGAGACTATGTAGTTTACTTGATTCTGAAATAACAAGTCGACGTGGTAAAAATCATATAAATATAAAATCATATAAAATTGTACTGATGCTATATAGTGCGATAGCATGGTCGTGTCAATTCTGCTCGTAACTAGTCAATACGCAGGAGTGGTTCGGAAGAACGGTGAACCACCGACGAATATTTAACAAAGTATTATAAATCACACTTCGTCGCCAATCTCTTTTGAATTATCGCGTCACACTGACTCTGGCCAAATAGTCTTCTCTATCCAGGGCACATAGTGGGAGACCCGGGCGTATACACCAGGAATGGCGCTACCACAAAGTCCTCCGAAGCTTGTTACGCCAAGGATGCTGTACATGCAGTTGTAATCCGGGTTCAGGATCACCAGAGGTCCACCACTGTCGCCCTGCACAGAAAAGGGCAGCAAAACGTTCAGTTAAAATCTCGGACATTCGAGAAGTCTCGCTGGTTATTAAAATAATTAAATTATTTGTTTGCTATTTGATGGGTTACGAATATTAATTTCTGAACGGACGAGCATCTGAATACGTAAGAAGTGATCTTCTTATGAAAATAGCTCAGATAAGAAACCAGGAAATTCTAATTGTTAGTCTTTAGCAGAGATTCCGATCGAGTTTTCCTGTTGCTGATCGGACCGTAGATAATCAGTATGCCGCAGAAGAAGCATATTGTTCGACAAAGAATATTGCTTACTTGGCAAGTATCTTTTCCAGGTTCACCGGCGCAGATTTGCCAGTTATCTATCACGCCACGTGGAACTACCCTGTCGTCGCGAACACTTCGGTTACATCGGTCGTTGTCTACCAAATTGATAGTGACTTTCAGCAAGTCGTTCGAGCCGTTCTCATCGCCTGGAAAACAAGGAGAAAGATATAAAAATAATATATAAAAAGATAAAAAAAATAATATATATAATATAATAACATAATTAACATATAATATCGAACATATTAACATATTAACTTTTTTAAACTGGATTACACGACTTGGATGTGTTTTAATTGTTAAAGGAACTAATTTACAGTGCAATGACTAAAATACTTTGTTTAAATTTTGTTACTATCGGAACGAAGATTTTTTTCTAGGCTTTACCCGTTGTCCAGTCAACTTACCCCTTTAACATCCCCAAGAAATTCAAGTTATTTCGTACAATTTCTAACGAGTTATCAGTGGACTGCAGATTTTATGCATTTACGATAAAAATGAGTAAATGAAATAAAAATTTGTGAATAGATTAAACGAATGTAAAAATATTAATCTACTTGTTTTTACTTGTTACGATCATTAAAGAATGCATAACATTTTTCTACTCGTCTTTCGTTTCTTAAAATTGATACTATTTTTATACAGTATAAAGATTCACGTTTTAATTATTACATTTCACAAAATTATTTGAACACATACGCGAGCCACTATGGATCTCGAATTACAATAAATTCTCCCCAATTTTCCTTCAGCTTGTGAACAAAAATGGACAGTTTGGGAAGAGGAGAGACGATTATTTTTAAGCCTTGCACCTCGTTTTTATAATCGTCGACAATCGGAAACAATAAAAATGAGACTTGAACAATCGCGTCTCCTTTTCCCAAATTTTTGTTTAGAAGCCGAAGAAAAATTATGAAAAATTAACTATAGTCACAGAAATGTCAGCGCTGCATTACAGTGTAGCACAATTATTTTGAATTTTTAACTATGGAACATACCCCAATCGACCTTGCCCCAACCGACCGCTGTCGCTACTTTCTCGTTGGCAGTGTCCGGCACAAAATATGGCAAACAGAGTGGTCTCACCCACGCGTCAAAGGTCACAGGCGACTTTAATTTTAACAGCCCAATATCGTGGTACATGGCGGGCCTTTTGTAGTCGGGGTGCCTGAGCCTGTCGATTATTTTAACTTGCTGAGGTTTCGCCTTGTCGTCGGTTCTTTCGAGATTCATGTCGCCCACCCGCACCCAAGTCGGTGGTCCCCTGTGGAGAGTTTGCGAAAATGAATGAAAGAGAACGCGTGAACTGGCATGAAATTGACAGTAATGTAATGCAATGTTTATTTAACGCGTGCCAGAATTTCGAGCGCCCTATTACACACGAGAAGAAGAAGAGCATCATTGGATTCGTACCATTCCACGCTGTAGAAGCAATGCGCCGCGCTGAGCACGTATCTCTCGGATATCAAACTGCCTCCGCAGCTGAAAATAACACCTTCAGGACCATCGAATCCTATAGCTGCCATATGCGGAAATTCCTTAGGATCAGCCTTTTTACCGCCGACGATTAATTTCCTCGACTTGATCGCGCAAACCGATACATTTACAGCCTGCGAATCCACTGACAATAGCGGCGGTATTACCAGTTGGTACACGGCTCTCGAGTACTCCTCGCATTCTGTTTAGAATCGATACAATAAGTAGATTGCGTGTATTGTTTGCAGTTTAACCCCTTAACTTGTACGCTCGAGTTAATTCGAGCGCGCTAAACAGGCCAAACTGTGCACACTCGAGATAATTCGAGCGGCGTCGTATTTTATGCTGCTATAATTTCTCACACTCGAATATAATCGAGAATTGAAAATAACAATGTGAAAGCAAAGAAAAGAAAATCGTTTTATTGATATTTATCATTTACATGGGATTGTAAGCTATAACACTTATTTATTCAAGAATAAAATATAGCCTTTTTCCATGGAACAAAAAAAAGCGCAGTATATCAAAATTCTCCACCAAAAGAAAAGTTGAATCAGGGGCGGTAACAAATGGAAACCTTTGAGAATGTGGATTTGGTTGGATATTGCTTATCTACTTTCAATCAACGGCTATATCTTCTTCTGTTGTTCTAACAATGTTCTAAATTGTGCTTTTTTACATTAAAAAAAAATTGATTTTTTTTTGGCCGGTTTTTTTTAAAAAAACTGTGCGTTAAGGGGTTAATGGCTACTGATCGTGCAAATGTTCGCAAGAATTAAGTTTTGTCAACGACTGCTCACTTGATCTTGATATGCTTTTGGCAGAGAGCGGTTCAGAACCTCCGGTCACCACTGTTGCTTCCGTAGTGGTTGTAGTTGTCGTGGGTTGCACAGTGGATGGACAGCACACCAGTTGTTGGAAGCCGATGAACCCGCATACTGCGACCGGAGGATTTCCCTTCAACAATTCATTATAGACCGATGGACACTGCTCAAGTCTCTTGCATTTTCCAGGTCCATTGTCCACGGTACAGTCATCATCTGAATGGGTAATTTACCTTTATGAATATCACGGGTAAATATAGGAAGGTCACGAGACCATTTTCTAGTCCAGTACAATGTCCAAACGTTATCAGTATCTGATTAAAATCGAAATAAATTTGTGAAAACTTGCTACTAGAAAGTTCCTACTTTGTGCATAATCATGAAGCCAGGAAATTAATTGTTTATTGCGACCTTATCCAATATCTTTAAGTAATCCCAGGTCAAGGATTTCGAAAATTGTTATTAATTGTTTAATAAGGCACAATATTTGATCGAGAATATAAATTAATTGTATATTGTGACCTTATCCAATATCTCTAAGTAATCTCAGGTCAAGAACTACGAAAATTGATATTAATGGTTTAATAAGGCACAATATTTGATCGAGAATATAAATTAATTGTATATTGTGACCTTATCCAATATCTCTAAGTAATCTCAGGTCAAGAACTACGAAAATTGATATTAATGGTTTAATAAGGCACAATATTTGATCGAGAATATAAATTAATTGTATATTGTGACCTTATCCAATATCTCTAAGTAATCTCAGGTCAAGAACTACGAAAATTGATATTAATGGTTTAATAAGGCACAATATTTGATCGAGAATATAAATTAATTGTATATTGTGACCTTATCCAATATCTCTAAGTAATCTCAGGTCAAGAACTACGAAAATTGATATTAATGGTTTAATAAGGCACAATATTTGATCGAGAATATAAATTAATTGTATATTGTGACCTTATCCAATATCTCTAAGTAATCTCAGGTCAAGAACTACGAAAATTGATATTAATGGTTTAATAAGGCACAATATTTGATCGAGAATATAAATTAATTGTATATTGTGACCTTATCCAATATCTCTAAGTAATCTCAGGTCAAGAACTACGAAAATTGATATTAATGGTTTAATAAGGCACAATATTTGATCGAGAATATAAATTAATTGTATATTGTGACCTTATCCAATATCTCTAAGTAATCTCAGGTCAAGAACTACGAAAATTGATATTAATGGTTTAATAAGGCACAATATTTGATCGAGAATATAAATTAATTGTATATTGTGACCTTATCCAATATCTCTAAGTAATCTCAGGTCAAGAACTACGAAAATTGATATTAATGGTTTAATAAGGCACAATATTTGATCGAGAATATAAATTAATTGTATATTGTGACCTTATCCAATATCTCTAAGTAATCTCAGGTCAAGAACTACGAAAATTGATATTAATGGTTTAATAAGGCACAATATTTGATCGAGAATATAAATTAATTGTATATTGTGACCTTATCCAATATCTCTAAGTAATCTCAGGTCAAGAACTACGAAAATTGATATTAATGGTTTAATAAGGCACAATATTTGATCGAGAATATAAATTAATTGTATATTGTGACCTTATCCAATATCTCTAAGTAATCTCAGGTCAAGAACTACGAAAATTGATATTAATGGTTTAATAAGGCACAATATTTGATCGAGAATATAAATTAATTGTATATTGTGACCTTATCCAATATCTCTAAGTAATCTCAGGTCAAGAACTACGAAAATTGATATTAATGGTTTAATAAGGCACAATATTTGATCGAGAATATAAATTAATTGTATATTGTGACCTTATCCAATATCTCTAAGTAATCTCAGGTCAAGAACTACGAAAATTGATATTAATGGTTTAATAAGGCACAATATTTGATCGAGAATATAAATTAATTGTATATTGTGACCTTATCCAATATCTCTAAGTAATCTCAGGTCAAGGATTTCGAAAATTGTTATTAATTGTTTAATAAGGCACAATATTTGATCGAGAATATAATGGGAAAGTAGCTGTAAGTTTATACTACATTCTCTGATATCAAACATTTAGAAATGATTACAGGATACTGAATTATGAATGACCTAGTGAGAGATTCCATTGTCTATTTTTCTCTTTCCTCAAAGATTGCAAAAAGATCGACTTTGTCGGATACCCCCATCCTCATCATACGTCACTAATCAATAACAGAGAATTAGAAGTTTGGCAAAAATGTTGGTGGCACGAGAGCCAGCATTTCTTATTTGCTAGCACAATGTACCTATCACTATAAGTAAAGAAAATCACAATCGCAGCATTTCTCTCATTGTCGCACATCATCTTTGTCTTTGTCTTACACATGGGAAATATATGGAAAATTAGTTCACGAATTCTCCACCGTAGAGACACCATAGCCGCGTCAATCACAGTGAGTAACGACCTCCCCCCCATTTGAATTCTTAAATTTAAAAAATAGAAAGCGATGTATTCGGCAAGTAGTTCGGACAATTTATATTCCTGGATTCATGGACTAATACATTGACACAAATATTTGAAAACTCAACCGTTAATCCCAGATATTCATAATTAAAATTGACGAATGCCAATACCGGCTGTCGATTTACAATAATTGATTAACATTTTCACAGCTTTTTGTAGTAGTTTTTCCAATGGGATGTTGTCAGGTCTTCGATAATGCTTCGAAAGTATAAAATATACTAGGACTTTTACTTTCAGGAATAGATTAAACAATGAGAGATTTCTGGAAATACTTAAAGGATTAAGGACACTGAAGGAACTAAAGATGTTTAAGGAATTATATCATAAACAGAATAGTCAAATAATTAAGAGACTGAACCGAAACAATTAATCATGCTCCGACAATAGAAGAATCCTTTTTACCTTCGTATCCCTGGCCTTGGATCGACGAAACGGTTAAAAGGAGCGTAAAAAGCAGAGATGACAACACTACCGGCAAGAAAGACGACGGGAACGTCATTCTTGGGAATTCTGACGCGCTAATTGCGATCTTAGTTGACCACGATGACACTGCTTCGCGACTTCTCTGACTTGAAGCTTTTGTATACCCCACCGTCATCTGCTCTTGAAGATCTGTGTCTGGAGTGGGAGGAGGAAACTTGGATGCAGGGAAGAACCCACTATTCCTTATGGTATCATTCGGTGAACAGGTTTTACTGGTCTAGGCACAAAAACGAGAATCCCGCATGCAAAGCGTTTGCAAAAGTCTGTAAAGTGATTGATTCTACCACTTTACAGACTTTTACAAACGCTTTACATGCTGGAAATTCGTTTTTTGTGCCGATATGAAGTAAAGTAATTGTAGTTCAGTTTAAACAACCTGAAAAACTGTAACACAATTAATTTGGACCTTTTTGTGTGGCATTTCTATACTAAAGAAGTCTTCTGAAGTTCGAATTCGTACTGAAATTAAATTTCGTCAAATTGTTGTTCTATATTGTACTATTACACTATCACTTTTAGTCCAGGATCATGTTTTGAACGATTTTACAAATTACTATTGCGTTCGAAGTAGATCGAGGAAATAAACCGTCTCTAATCATTTACACATTGTTTAATTAATTGATTTACTGCTGAATAAACTAGGTCTGCTTTGAATAAATAAGGAAAACTAATTTGCGACGTTCAGTTAAATAATCGCTGATACGGTATATAAACGATTTCCTTATACGAATAATTAGATGATTCATATCACGATCGTACGTACATATTTTCCATTAGTCTTGTTTAAAGTTCAGCGCCCCGGAGATGCAACCCTCTCAGCATCGACGTAACCTGACACGCGGGTGCTCTTACTATCAGGGGACATACATTTTTCAGTTTATTTTCGATTTATTTTAAATTTCGTTGATTAATTATTCTTATGACAAATGTAACCTATAATTTGTAACGGTGTCAATGTTACTGGATTCGCACTGGTTGGAACAGCTCATTTATGAAATTGATAGCGTTCGCCTTTGACATGTGAAAAGATACTGGACAAATGTGTAATACTGCAAATACTGTAAATCCGGACATTTAATTTTAGCTTGATACCGATGTTCGAAAGTCGATCCTTTATATAAAAAACCAAAATTATGGTACAACTGGACGGGTTGACTCATAGCCATCGATCAGATGACTCAAGAATTCAGCACCTGGAATATGCAACTCTATCGGCATCGGCGTAACCAGCCGCGGAGATGGCTTTACTGTCGGGGGACACATTTTTCAGACGAATTTCGATTTATTATTATGAAATTTCGTCGATTAATTATTCTTGCGACGAATGCAACCTGCAATTTGTAATGGTGTCAATGTTATTGCATTCGCATTGGTTAGAATAGCGTCTTCATGAAATTGATAGTGTTCGCCTTTGACCTTTGAAAAGATACGGCCGCAAATCTCTACATTTAATTTTAGCTTGATACCCGTGTTCAATGGTCACGTTCTCGAACATTTAATTTATCAATTCGTTTTTAATTATTTCTATTCTCCTTTAATTTGCTTGACTTCTGTCTATTTAAAGAGCACGGATCAGGAATTTAAGCCGTAATTGTCGTAACCATCCCTAAAAGATTTGACTTTGAAGAAGACAATTATGGCAGCCGAAGTGTCCGCAGTCCGTAGCTAGATTGACCGAACGGATCAAAGGATGAATAAATGATACACAGCGTGATTAACACATCCCACCTAAAAATATTTTATTGCTAATTAGTCTGTTCATAACATGTTTGTATATTTACAAATTAATTACCCGAGTATGTATACGTATATGAGCATCTTACGTTAAACCGATAAAAATGTAGACGCGTTCCGCTTTTGTACAAGAATGAATACCCGCAGTCGTATCGATTATTAATTATGAGAATAGGACAGTGAGAGAAGAAGAGAAAGAGAAATAAAATTATAATATAACAGCAATTGATAATCGATGGATATCGATAAAAAATATGATATACAGTAACAATATAAACACGCGGCACTTAGGCTAATGTCGGACATCGAGCGCTAGGAATAGAAAGAGCATTCTCTACCTAAGAATACTACCGATAAAATATATTGTAATAATTATAAAACATTGTTCACGGGGGAATCAATTCTGACGAGTTCAAGGAGATTAAGAAATAAAATAAAATAAAATAAAACAAGGAGACGGGCGGGGGGTACGGTCTTGCAAAGCCTAAAAACATATTTTTCACGAGTAAACTCAACGCTGGAGTTGCCGCGGAGGAGAAGAGTTTCGTGTAAAACCGATCACCCAGCGAAAACGATTAATTACTAGGCGAGGAAGACACGGTGTCCCATATTCTGTTCCTATTACAGACTGCGGTCGCGCGAGTATTTTCACAACGGCCGTCGCTTCTTTACGTTTATCTACACGTAAACATATACATAATTAATTAAACAATACATAAACGTTCTCTAAATCGACGGGCTCGTCGAAACAGTCGTGCGACCGCAGCTATGACCAAACGAACGCTAGTTTTAACGAAACTCAATCCCACAACTTATAATGATACTATATACAGTCCGTGTACCTGCGTTAAGTTATCAGTCTTGCGGCTCTCAAGAAGAAAAATTGTATAACCAAGGGTAAACGATACAGCGAATCGCGGTGAACCCAGCGGAACCATTAAACGCTAATGTCTGGACCCGTGTCAATTAGGGTACTGTCCAGAACCCCTGCGTCTTGAGTATTTCAATGTACTTTTAACAAATGGTACAAAAATGAAGCTGATTCAGAATTAGGCCGCTTTGAATACAAACTGGCATCATTGACACTCCTTTAAACATGTTATGACACCGTTCGCTGACCAAAACCCAAATAATTTTGGATCCACAAGATTCACTGTCTCGCTATGTCGTCGCAATGCGCGTGTCTCTGTTTTGTTAGTACACTGATCGAGACGATAGGAAAGCTAATTCGTGCTTTTTAACTAAATTACGGACACCCGGGCTTCTTCCACTCGCTGACGCACCTAATTCTCGTTTTGATTAGCTCGCGACGACCAGTGGAAGAGATCTAGGAACTGTGAAGCGCGCTCGATCGGAGGGTAAACGACCGATCGATGATTAATAGGTCGCATTGCATCGCTTCCACCGATTGTATAGTCAGCGTTGTTTCGTTTACAGGAGCTGAGTCGAATAAATCGGGAATCAACCGCGCGATTAATAGAAACAGGTAATTAAGCCACGTTCCCACTTGAGACGGTTTTATATTGGCTCTGCCCAGCATTCGCGGAGCTCCTCCCATTATTATTAGTATACAAGGAACATTCGAGTGACGTCTCGCAGATTCATACAAACGCAATTAATTAAAACGCACCATACTAGACACAATCGACCGCAAATAAATAACTTATCCGAGCACGAACACATTCAACTGCCCGCCGAGCAAAAAGGCTGGCGAGGCGACTCTTTCAAAAATGACTACGATGCCTCTGAATAAACCAGAATATATAAATTACACGGATAAAATCGGCACTTCTAGATTAGACAAATAAATCACTCTTTTCTATGTACATTCTGGTCGAAGACGATTTTTCTTTACACTTTACAGGATTCTCGGCAACTCGATTTATTGAGAGGCACTTTGGCAACGTCGCTCGAGTGGTAACGCGGCTTAATATCAGTCGAAAACTTCGGTTTTGCCACCTTTTCTTATCCAACGGGTGTTCCAATGATTCTGGATAACGTACACATTCTTTAATGTCAGCAGAATACTATGTTCTCGACCATTTACTAATACGTTTGTAGGAAAAGGTGGCAGCTTGCCGGTGAATAGCTCCGAACCAGCAACGAACTGATTCATCGAACTCGTTTTTCGCTTTGTCTGTTACTGCTTTAACATATGTACATTTATATATATATATATATTATATCGCGTTCGTTCTATATTGGGTGTCCTCGAATTCAATCTTACGTTCGATAAATATTCTTCCTCAACTAGATATCACTCCGTTCATTTAACAAAACCCCATATGCACACACACACACACAGAGAAATATACTATTGTTTCCTACGCGATTATCAGGAGGATCGTGTTTTAATTGTCTGGCGTTCGCCCGATGATTCAAGGATCATTGGACGATCGGATATGCGACCATTAGACCGAGGACCTTTACGCATTTTTTAATTTCTTTAAGCTATTTAGAACATATAAGTCTTATTTTCGTTTCGATCTTATTATGACAAAATTGAATTTTTACAACTACCGCAAATGCACCAGATCCACAGTCTAATCAGTGTAAATACCCGTCGAGGATCGAAATCGTTTCGTTCGTTCTGTTTCCATAGTATTCAATCGTTCCAGACAGTCTTCCGTGGATCTAACTGATTTGGAAATCGATTACGCGTGCTAAAACGCGTCTGGAATGGATCGAGTGCAAGATGCATCGCCGAGAAAAGTCGACACCTCAGACATTCAAGGAGCAGAGAGAGAAAGAAAGAGAGAGAGAGAGAGAGAGAGAGAGAGAGAGAGAGAGAGAGAGAGAGAGAGAGAGTAATAATCGCTGCGGATCAGCGATGAAGATAATTAGTACAAGTCGAGAGCGTCATTGGCATAAAAACAAAATAAAGAACAGTGTTGAGAATTGAAGAAGACCATTTTTACCATACTCGATATACACTGGCAGCTAGTTTGCTAGAGATCTGTTTACAAAAGAGAGAAAGAGAGTGAGACAACGATATACGTATGTATAAACATGAGTATCGAGTCGTGTATATTAAGTACTAAATGGTCGGGGAGTTCTGAACCGGAGGGAGCACTGCACAACAATATCATAGGAGAGTCGAAAGCTGTCTGTTCTTCAACACAATACGTTTGCTACGATTGTCGCCTAATTCTCAAGGAACCGTTGCTTCTAGCTCTATATCGGAATACCGCTTGCAAGATATAAATGTGTTTCTCTGGATCACGAGGCTTAAGTACGAGTACAAGAATACGTCCAGGAGACGGCTCCTGGAGAGTCATACGACTTTGGAATACAACGACGAGAAAATAGCACACTCGGCTGGGGTGAGTCAGGAGATTTAATAAGATAAATTTCTGAGACGTTAACGGGACAGAGATCCTAGGAAGGCCCTAGACCCGGTTAAGAAGCGGACAATACAAACCGCTATTGATGGTTTGAATTCATGAATGAGGCCGAGTTGGGGCGAGGATAATTCTCTGTGTTTGTAAATGACTGTCGACAACCGTCGGAGTCCTGTTTGGCTAACAGTCGAGGGTCCAGGCTCGAATTCCAACAAGGTCAGTGATCTTCGAAAGCGAATGAAACCGTTTTCTTAAGCTGGATCGTGTTTAGGGATCGTCGTCAGTCGTTGCTCCTGGCTCTGTGGGGGAGGCTCTAATGCGTCCGACATTTTTCACCTCGACGCCATTCCCTAGTGATCTACGTTCCAGATCTATGTTCCAGGTCCGGGCAACGTCCCTGTAAAGAAAATCTCGTTCTCTGAGTATCTGTGTCATTTGTTCCACGCGACTAAAGTCACAGGAGACGCGCGTGTTACATGCCTAAGAGACTCAAATATTACAAATGTTCAATCCCACCAAATATTTCCAACTATATATATACTTTCACATTCATTCTCACTCAGAACTAAAAGACTAATTCATTTCTACTTCTCCAGCTTAAGATAACCTCTTGGACGCTTTCTTAATATGTAGTTCGAGCTCGAACTACGCCGTTATGAATTGTTATCAAAGTAATTTCGACTCCGGCGCTAGAGTACTTGTTAATCTTGGCATCTGACTGTAGTTTGATAAACTCATATCTCGGCTAAATTCGAGGAAAGTTCTCTTCCCATTGCTACCGTGTAATACACTCTCGAGACAGTGAAAAGGATATACAAGTCAAGAGGCGATCTCGAGCTGATAAACGAAGAATGATGGATCGATAGATCACGAAGAAGTTGAGCGCGTTGGAAACATTCGCCGCGATTAGAAGTTCGTTTGCAGCCGCGGTCCGGCGTTCTTGTACGATCCAGTCGTACAATGTCGTACATACAACGCCGAGCATGCATTCCGTCATGCGATAATAACAGCGGTAGCTCGCTTGTTGCGGTTCTTCTCGGAAACAATAGCGAAGAAAGCAAAAGAGAGTGGATCGAATTTCGTTGTCGTCGTCAGGCGTCTTGTTACTGCGTGCACGCACCTCGCACACCTTCGCCTTCAAACAAACGCACGCATTTATATACATACATTCTTATACACACACGGTGAAACAGATTCGTTCCGAATAAGCGTACAGGTTGGCTCAAGAGTGGTGTCGGAAAGTGGACAGACAGCTTTTCAGGCATCCCGTATATTCAACGTCGCTTACTCAACACCGAACGAATCCTTTCTAGAATTTTTTATGCACTTCTACCGGCACTGTCCTGCGGTTGAGTCGTTCAACTCTTAAACTAGTGGACTGTGCAAGTCTGAAATAACCATCTTCAAATGTGTAGTGACGTAATTGCTCAAGTTGATTCCCTAGCTAATTCTCTGGTACCTCCTCTCGCAACTCTCTTTTCAATTGCGCTCTACTGTCTCACTATGCCCCTAATATATCTAAGTAGATTTACCGAAGTATAAAATGCAAAGTCCACTTAAGAGCAGAAGGAACAAAGCATCCCACAGCTCGGACAGTCCAGCAGTGCGACGTGGTTCGCGAGAAACATTGTTGCGCACCGTCGCGAAGGACGGCGGCGTTCAATCAAGTAAAAAAATATACACCCGCCGTTCTCTCATTGATCGTTGACCCCCAGGACAACGAGCGATCGCGACCGATTCCGTTCGAAACCGCTCGCCTCCGCGTTGCGATGTCATCAGGTTGATTTCCATCGTGTTATCGTCGCAAAACGATTGTTCATCGCGGAAGCTTCGCTCGATACCATTGGCACAACTCTCCCCCATCGTTCTATGGCGAGCTATTTGGCTCATTCGTTTCTATAATCTCGTGTGCGCCCGCCATACTAGTATAAAAAAAGGGCAAATCTAGCGCCAACGACATTGCATTCTCGTGTGAATGAAGCTTCCGCGTGTGCCGATCATTCTGCGGTCCTTTCACCTGCATTACGTGCTAGCGAATGACAATCCTTTACCCACCCTACCCAAGTGAAACCCATTAAAAAAAAAAGAAAAAAAAAGACAGAATAATAGAACACAAGCCACATCCGTGCACAAGTTCGTACGACGAGGAAAAAAAAGCAGATAGATTGACAGAGAGTGAGTTGAATTAGAGAAAGAAAGGCGGCAAGGACGGTGAGTTTCTTCAGAGAAAGAAGAACGGATCAGCGAGATCTGGTCAGCTCGATGCCGGAGAACTTATCTTGACGGGACGTCCTCGGTTTTGGCAGCGAAGATCCAGGAAAGATGAAGAGTAGGAGGAAGAAGGCGACGTTCGAAAAGAAGTCGCACGACGGTCTTCGTGTCAGCAGAAAAGAGGAAGCTTCGATGGGAACCATCTCCGATGATCGATGATGCGCTCTGCGCGTCGATACGCCGCTCGGCTAATTTGCGTGGATTCGGGTTTTCCGTGCGTTGCTGTCTGAAAACGAAAGGGAATTGAATCAGTGAGCAGAATTGGAGAGCAAATAAATGTTGGTCATTGTCGTGAGCGAAGTTCGAAACAAAAGAAAGAAAGACGTTTAAATTCTTTTTGCATCTGTGTTGTTGACCGCGGTGGAGATTATTCATGGCAACGTCCGCGTTGTGGCTCACGTGAATACGGCAATTTATTGTTCTTTTCTCTTTCTTTCTTTTTTTTTCTGTAACCTTACGAACAGCGCGAAGGACGCGAATCGTCGCGGCGTTTAATGGCCGCCGTTTGACCTCACTCAGAAACGTCTCTCCTTGACCCTTATTCACGGCACTGCCCCGGCAACTAATTTTATGCTTTCGGCCATTATGTCAATAGAGACGCACGTGTTTCCAGAATCTGGAACGGCTCTCCGCGAATCGTGCCATTCAGTTTTGCCCGGCGTGTTATTATTCTACGGAGGAGGCGAAATTCGACGCGGCATTATCAATGACGCAATTAGACGATCCATTTCGGTACGCGAACCCGTGCCATTTTATCGCGACGAATAATTCTCGTTATCGCGGCTCGTCCCGATGTAATAATAGATGAGCGTGGCGATAAGCTCAATTTGTCGTAATCCGATTAGAAGACGACCAATTAAAATTCCGCGGCGACGAGCTGAATGACCGGGATGAATGAAATTTCGAAATCGAATTTTTCGCGGCAACTTTCGCGTGCACGCGCGGCAGCGGGGGGATCGGTTGAGAATGGGTTCCAGGCTCCCAGGGTGCCGAGATTACTCGGTCAGCCTACGCGTCTAGACGCCTTGAAAGTTTTTACAATGTTCCCGAGGCGTGGTATGTCACGACTGCAACGCGGCGAGATGCGATATATACGATCCTGCAACGCCACTTTTCACAACCACGCCTCGACCGGTAGGTACAAACTGTACACCGATCGCCGTACCCTATATGCATCGCGGGCCGGCAACCGCCGAGCCGGGATCGATGAATCTTTCTGCGAATTCCGATCGCTTTTTCTCGAAGACGCATCGATCCTCCAATTAAACCCGATCCGCGTGTGACCATAAATTTAAACTGAGACGCGGCTGAAAAGCCTTTTAATCGGACGGATCAAAATGAACGCCGTATCTAGGCGGCATCATTAGAGATGCGTGCTGATAAATCGGAATATAAAGTCGAAGGTGTCTCGGATCCGTGAAATAGAAGTACTAGGGTGTCCCATAAGTTCTTTCCTTTTTTCTGATGCGAAATGATTACACGATATTTGTTGTTTAAAGTTGATTTATCGAGTTATATATATGAACCGTTCTGCTCTATTACCTTCTCCCATCTTTCAGGAAGCCTCATTATGCCGTCTTTCCAAGATTGTTGAGGCTTATTTGCAAACTATTGATCAAGGTGCGTTTTTATTTCGCTTACGAATTTAAAACGTTTCTCACGGAGAGAATTTTTTTAACGAGAAGAACAAGTAATAATCGGATGGAGCAATGTCTGGGGAGTACAGAGGATGAGGTAGAACGTCTCAATCAAACTGCAATAATTTTTGTCTTACGACCAACGCAACATGCGGTTTTGCGTTGTCGTGATGAAAATTTGACGGTGTGGAACTTCACGAACGAATCGATTCACATCCCATCTTGATTAAATGCTTATGTACCGTTGTCCTGGGTATGTTAGTGGCATCCGCTATCTCGCGCACACTATATCGCGGATTTTCAGCGAGCATATCTTTGATAAGGTC